ACCAATAGATGCTTGTCAGGCAGGAATCGCCCCTGCCTTGGGCATGCTGGGAGGGACCAGAATCTTTAAATCACCCAACAACCTGAGCATGGGGCACTTGGCTGTCACCATTTTTGGTGGTGGGGGGTGTGGGCCCAAGCTGCAGTTTGTAATTTACAATAAAAAGAACCTCATGTATTTACAGTGGAGTCTAGTTATTCCTGGTCTTTTGGGGTTCAGGAACTGGGCAGAACACCATCCAGCACAGTAATTAAAACACAATCTCTAAAAAAGGCATGGTCTACAGAGTATGAGTGGCTAGTGTCTGTGGGCATGGCTTTTCCTTACCATAATATGATGGTGAAGGCTTTCACAAAAGGTGAAACAACAAAAAGCTAGGTGTGGTGGCTATGATGGGGGATTAAAATCAAGGCTAAGCCAGACATGGTGGTGAGCGCCTTTAATCACAGCATTTGGGAGGCAGAGGCAGGTGGATCTCTGTGAGTTCTAGGCCAATTTAGTCTACAAAGTGAGTCCAGGACAGCCAGAGCTCTGTCACACAGAGAAATCTTGTCTGGACAAAACAAACATACAAAAGAAAAAAGTTAACCCATCTGCTCAGCTTTTAACAAACAATACTAAAATGTAAATTTCCTACACTGTTTTGCTTTGCTTAAATGTTGCTTGACTCTATTCAATCCATTCTCTTAGTATTTATTAAACATCTTTATTCCCAAGGAATTCTGCCACAGACAGTGTAGGATGTGATGAATCAGACATTTGTATAGGAGCACGAAAGAAATGTAACGCTGGCATCTTCCAGACTGTTTTGAATCTTAGTTCTTTGGATAAATTATTCTTTTAACAGCAGGCTTTTATAGGAACAGGTGGATCTCAGGCAAATCTTTTCCACTAAACTGTGTCTGCCTTTAACCACCCTGCTAAGTCCATTGAAATGAAGTTGTTACCATTAAAAAGGAAAAGGAAATGCATTCTCATGAATGCTGCCCAGGAGCTGTTCCATACTGTCAAGGTTCACCCCCTGAGCTTTGTTTCCGGGAGTCAGCAACAACAGAAGTGATCAGGAAAATTGTGGAATGCCTGGGGAAGAGTTGTAAATGACTTGGATCACTAAATAAGTTTAATTTGAGACATGGACTATCAAAGTGGTCTTGAGCTCTCCATCCTCCTGCCTCCATTTCCTGGGTTTATAAACTTTCACTATCACACCCATGATAGTGGGTCACAGCATGAACAGCATTTTCACCTGGAATGAATGAGGTATATGAATGAGACAGACAGCAGAGGAAGTGTATGTGGAGACTTCTAGATCACATGATGGAGGACCATCCAGAAGGGTTTACAGAGATGGAGAAGACTAAAAACAGTGACAGAAAGACAGTTTAACAGTGATTTGAGATGCTACAACAAAAATACTACCATACTCCAGTGCTATGGTTCAACCAGGGTTTTCTACCAAACTTGACAACCTGAATTCATTACCCAGAACCCACATGGTGGAAGGAGATAGCTGACTCCTGAAAGTTGTTCACTGACCTGCACACACCCTGTGACACCCCCCCACCAATAAATTGTGATAAAAACCAAAAAGCCAGGCTGTGGTGGTGCATGCCTTTAGTCCCAGCACATGGGAGGCAAAGACAAGTGGATCTCTGAGGCTAGCCTGGTTTACAGAGTGAGTTCCAGGACAGCTGAAGCTATACAGAGAAACCCTGTCTCGAAAAGCCAAAAAAACACCCTCCCAAAACTCACTCACACACATACACACAAACCTTGGTGGCACATGCCTGTAATCTTAGCACTCGGGGAGGCAGAGGCAGGCAGATCTCTTGTTAGTTCAAGGCCAACCTGGTCTACAAAGTGGGTCCAGGACAAGTAAGAGTATACAGAGAAAACCTGTCTCTCCAACCCCTCCCCGAAACACACACACAAAACAATCCAAAACCAATCCAAAACCAAACCAAACCACATCATCCAACAGACATCTGATGGTTTCCTAGGTGGTCATTTTTTAATTGTAACCTTACCTTGCAAGGCAGGAGAGGCAAAGGAATTCTCTAGAACTCTTTAAAAGGTATTTATACAATTAATTTTTTTTTTTTTATTTTGGCGGACAAGACAGGGTCATTCTATGGCCCAAGCTGGCCTCAAAATTGTTACAATCCTTTTCCCTCAGGTTCCCGTGAGTGCTTTGCTTATTATTTTATTATTTTGAGACAGGTTCTCACTAGCCCTGGCCAACCTGGAACTTACGAAGAGGTCTATGAACTCACAGAGATCTACTGCTTGTCTCAGCCTTCCTAATGCTGGGGTTAAAGGTGTACACTGTTAAGCCTGGCTTATTGTTTTATTTTTAAAATTTTATTATTTTTAATTACATGTATGTTTCTGTGTGTAGGTATGTGTGCATGCGTTGAGATGCCCACAGTGGAAAGGTTGTCAGATCTGGAGTTGCAGATGGTTGGTTGTGAACTGCCTGATGTGGGTGCTGGGAATTGAATTTAGGCCCTCTGAAAGAGCAGGTGTGCTTACCAGGGAGCCATCTCTCCAGCCTTAATTATTTTAATGTTTAATATTTAATGTATATTTTGTTTGGTTGTTTTTTTGTCCTTTTTTAAATTTTTTTTTTTTTTTTTTTTTTTTTTAGTAATTAGTTTATTCATTTTGTCTTCTCCCAATCCTGCCCTCCTTCTCTCTTCTCCTATGCCCCTTCCCCAGTCCACTGATAGGGGAGGTCCTCCTTCCCTTCCCTCTGATCGTAGCCTATCAGGTCTCATCAGGGCTGGCTGCACTGTCGTCCTCTGTGGCCTGGTAAGGCTGCTCCTCCCTCAGGGGTAGGTAATCAAAGAGCCAGCCACTGAGTTCATGTCAGAGACAGTCCCTGTTCCCATTACTATGGAACCTACTTGGAGACTGTGATTTTTGTCTTTTATTTAAGAGAGAGTTTTGCACAGTTGGGCACAAGTCTTTGATCCCAGCACTCAAGGGAGGCAGAGGTAGGTGGATCTCTTTGAGTTCGATGCCAGCCTGGTCTACAAATTAAGTTAGGGCAGCCAAGTTTACACAGAGAACTCTGACTGGAACCTCCCCCCACCCCACCCACCCCACCCCCCAAAAAAAAGAAAAAAGAAAGAAAGAAAGAAAGAATCAAAGAGACACACACACACACAGATTTGCTATGAGCCCTGGTTGGCTCGGAACTTGCTGTATAGTCAAGACTGCTGAACCACAAGATGATCGGCCTTGAACTCTCTCTTTCTGCCTGACTCTTTTCCGTGATTAGATTCTAAGTGTTTACCCCCACACCTCACTGCAACAAATACAGCATATTTGTAGGTTACTAAGTGCTGTGTCATGCATGCATAATTGGGGGAAGATCATGTTACCAGAAACACTTCACATTCTTTTTATTTTTGTAGTGGGTGGGGTCTCTTTTATAGGAGCTTCACGGTTTAATCATCTCCTAAAGGTCCTATTTCCTAATCCAATTGAAATTTCAATATATATATTTAGGGGGAAACCCTCTAGAGCTAAGCACCCACATACTTGCATAATTTCCCTCAGTATAGTACAATTTGCTACCAAAACAAACAAACCCGAATTTACCGACATGTACGCAAGCAAAGGCGTCTTCTCCTTCTTCAAAGGAGAAGTGTTTCGACCATGGACTGTTGCATACATACCCTCGGTAGACTGTTCTAAAGATTTTTAGAACTGGAGCCCATCCACGATGGCACACAGCTTTCATCCCAGCACTGGGGGGGTGGGGAGAGGGGAGAGACAGAGACAGTTCCAGGACATCCAGGGCTACCCTGAGAAACCCCGTCCCGAACCTCCCCCACCCCCTTCAAATCTTAATTTGAAGATTAAGACTCAGAAGATTTGTCTTTAGTTTTCCGGAAGATGACATGTAAACAACTTAAATACGCTAGGAACTGGTCAGTACTTTGGAAGCTGAGGCAGAAGGATTACCACACTTTCAAGCCAAGAAAGAGTTGAAGATATCCTAAACTGCCGTGTGGGAGCCTGTCTTAGTAAAAGAAAGAATCCAGGTGTGGCTGGTGAAGCCTTAAATCCTAGCGCTGGGAAGGCAGAGCCAAGTCAGCCTTCAACAAAAATAAGCTAATGGTGGATAGACACACACAAACCAGTCAGAGGGAATAAAAGACAATTTCCAGCTTAAGCTGAGGCACTTCAAATCTAAAGGAATACCCTAAAAACGATAAAAAGTACACACTATTCGGATCTTTAGCATGTCTACCGCAATGAGAATTTCTGCTGGGACCTCCCCCCCCCCGGAAAACAGGCAAACCCGAAAGACTGAGTTTCTGAACTCCGCCTGCTCCAGGGCCAGCTCTCCGCACTTCGTTCTGAGGTTTTAACGTCCCAGGAAAGGCCGGCGGGGGTTTCGGAGGCGCCGGGCGGGCCGCGGCTCAGCGGGCGCAGCCCGCCGCTCGCACGTGACAACTTTCCGGGAACCTGCGCCCCAGCGCCGCGGAGTCTCGGGAAGATCCTGAGCCGCTCCGGGGCCGCCCCTCGTGACGTCACGAGCGCGATCCCTCCCGCCGACCAATCAGAAGGTCGGATTCCAGGGAAGCCCCGGGCGGCGGGGGCCGCCCGAGCGCGTGCGCACGGGCTCCGCGTGGCTATATAAACATGGCTGGCAGCGCAGCGCCGCGGGCTGTGCGCGGCGCGTGTTCGGTTGCCCTGCGCTCCGCGGAGCCGTAGGCTTCCGAGCTCTCCGGCGGGGGAGCGCACAGTTCAGGCTCCCCGCGGGTGGGAACTGAAGTGACGCCCCCGAGGGAGCTCCCGGTCCGGGCGCTTGTTCGGCGGGACCGGGGCTGAGGCGCGCACGTGGGAGCGCCGCTGAGGGAGCGGCCGGCGGCCCGGAGCGCGCGGGTGCCCCGGGATGCTGCGGCGCCCGGCCCGCGCCCGAGTCGGCCGCCGCCTGCCCCGGCCCGCCTCGCCTCGGCTCCGGCAAGGGCAGCGTCGCTGCCGCTGAGTCTCCCCGAGGGCATGCCGGCGGGCCTCACGGAGCCGGCCGGCGCCGCTGCTGCTCCCGCGGTGGCCGGCGCCTCGGGGGCCGTGAGCATGGCCCCCGCCGCCGCGCTGCCCGTGCGGGTGGAGAGCACCCCGGTGGCCCTGGGCCCCGCGACGAAGGCCCCTGGCGGTGTCTGCGCGGAGTCTGCGGCGCCCCGGCCCTTGCCGTCCCCCGTCGGGACCCTAGTGACCAAAGTGGTGCCTGTCACTGCCCTGCCGAAACTCGGCGGCCCCAGGTTGCCCGCTCCGCAGATAGTCGCCGTGAAAGCCCCCGGCACCACGACCATCCAGCTGCCTGCTAACCTGCAGCTTCCTCCAGGTACGTGGAACGCCCCCGCTCGCCCGAGGCCGCTCTGGAGGACGCGGAGCCGAGCGAGCCCCGCGCGAGCTTGACCCCGAAGCGAGCGAGCGTGCGGCGGTGATTTGGTCTCACGGTGCCTACCGCCTCTCGGTTCATGACCGCGGAAAGGTCTGCTCACCCAAGTGACACCGGCAGGTCCGGGAGACGCACCTTCAGGACGGCCCCTTGAGGCACTGGCCGGCACCCAGATGGGGACACAGGGACTAGCCGGAGTTAACGTTCATGTGGAGAAAGGACCAGTGAAAAAGATGTCTTTTTAAAAGAAAGTTTTTTGAAACTGAAGGCAAAGAGGTTTTTAAATTTAACAAAGTTATAATAAGTTTACAGCAGAAGCGATTAGTCTCTTCTTTTTTTTTTTTCTCCTTTTCTTTTTTGCCCCCTTAAGACAAGATCTCCTGTAGCCCAGGGTGGCTTTGAACTCCCCAGTGTAGGGGAGGATGGGATGACCTTGAGCTCCTTTTGTCTCGGAACCGTGCAACTATTGTATTTGAAGTGATGTGTGTGTTGTGTTACTGAGTCTTTGGTTGCTTTTTATCCATTGGAAGCTTATTACTTTGTTGGGCTGTTCTTTATGATTTGCATGAAAGTTTTGCTTTGTGATAATTTACATAATGTAGATGTCTGACTGTTGTGTTGTCACTTGTTCCTTAACTGAAAAAAAATATTCTGAATTTGTCTTTCATTAATTTTTTTAAGCAGAAAGTGGAAATTGAACATGTTGGTAGTTAGTAATAAAAAAACTCTCTGCCAAAAGAACCTTGATTAAGTCTGGCGATGGTGGCACATTCTTTTTATTCCAGCACTTGGGAGGCAAGAGGCAGGCCAATATCTGGGTTCTGGACCCGGCTGCTCTATAGAGCGAGTTCTAGAACAGCCAGGGACCTATACAGAGAAACCCTGTCTGGAAATATCAGACAAAGGGAGGGAGAGAGAAAGAATTTGGGATAGTAAAGAAATGGCAACATAAATTGAAAAGATTTCTTTAGTATCTCCTAGCAAAAGAACAGAGTCTCCTGTATTGGTGGGGAGGGGTGTGTAGGATAGTTTTTTTTTTTTAAATTTTTTATTAATTACACTTTATTCATTTTGTATCCCCCCATAAGCCCCTCCCACCTCCCCTCCCGATTCCACCCTCCCTCCCCTTTCTGCATGCATGCCACTCCCCAAGTCCACTGATAGGGGAGGTTCTCCTCTCCTTTCTGATCTTAGTCTATCAGTTCTTATCAAAATTGGCTGCATTGTCCTCTACCGAGGCCTGGTAAGGCTGCTCCCCCCTCAGGGATGTAGGATAGTTTTATGTTAGCTTGACACAAACTGAAGTGATCAGAGAGGAGGAAGCCTCATTTGAGAACGTGCTTCCCTAAGATCAGGCTGTAGACAAGTCTGTATGGCCTTTTTCTGGGTGGTGCCATCCCTGGCTTTGTGACCCTGGGTTCTATAAGAAAGCAGGTTGAACAGTCTATGAGAAGCAATCCAGGAAGCAGCACTTCTTCATGGCCTCTGCATCAGCCTCTGACTCTAGATTCCTGCCTTGTGTGAGTTCCTACTCACTACTTTTTATGATGAACTGTTATTTGGAACCATGAGTGAAATAAGCCCTTTCTCCCCAAGTTGCTTTGGTCATGGTGTTTCATCATAGCAGTAGTAACCCTGAGTAAGACTGGGAGCTGTTGCTGTATTTGGTTATGGACATTCCGAGCACATTCTATGCATTTCACAGAAGTCTTTCAGTTGTTCTGTGGTACAGAAGGTACCTTTACTTGTAAAAATAGTAAATCATTGGATATGGTACTTGCCAGTTCTAAGTTGTTTCTGTGGTGAATGTATTTGAATGATATTACCTGCTGATTTGTTACAGCATACATCCTTGTCTAGTCACAGAGGTCACTACCCCAACCCCCAGGGATTTCTCTGTGTGTCAGTTCCCTGGCTGTCCTGGAACTCACTCTGTAGACCAGGCTGGCCTAAACTCAAAGAGATTTGCCAGCCTCTTCCTCTCAACTGTTGAGGTTAAAGGTGTGTGCCACTCATTGAAGTTTTGTAGAAACAGTCAAAAAAAAAGTATTAAGATAGGAAACATTGTCAAGGAGGAAAGCTTACTTTGGTACTATTTTGAATCTGATATACAGGATATCAGATAATGTGACCACTGTGGGGGTCTTGATTCACTGGTTGAGAACTGCTGTCTTAACAGAACCCATGTAAAAAGCTGGATGCAGTGGTAGATATTTTAAATATTTTAAATATCTACCATCCTAAGGTGAAATTAAAGGAAAAGACAGGAAAAGAGACACTGTCTCAAAAGAAGGTGGAAGGAGAGAAATGATTCCTCAGAAGTTATCTTCTGGCTTCTGTTTACATGTTCCTTTCCATACTAAATAAATAAATCTTAAACAGAAACCAAATGTGTATGACTACAGGTTTTTCTGGGGAGTAGGAGCTAAAAATAAAAGGTAAGAGGGCATTTATGAGGAAATAAAAGGTTTCTGTCCTCTAATACCTTAGTGAACATGTGGAACATTTAGGTCCATGTGGCCATTTCTGAGTCAGTTTAATGCATAGTGCCAGAGGCATTTGCGTGCGTGCGTGCGTGCGTGCGTGCGTGCGTGCGTGTCTGTCTGTCGTTAACCTTCCAGGAGAAGTCACAGCAATCCTTAAGTTTGCCCTGGTATATGTTTCTAGTTCTTCTCCGTACTATGATATTGCTTTCTCTAGTTCTGGCTGCCTTAAACCTTGCTGAGCCATAATTCACTCACTTTTTAGCCCATGCTGACTTTAGCTTCCCTAGTGCTGGGATTACAGTCATCCTGGGATCATAGGTGTGAACTACCATTCGTAGCTTTTTGAGATGTGTGTATGTATAGCTATGTTTTTTGTTTCCTCCCTCCTCCTGAGGCAGGGTTTCTCTGTGTAGCCTTGGCTGTCCTGGACTCACTTTGTAGTCCAGGCTGGCCTCCCAACTCACAGAGATCTGCCTGCTGTGGTTATAGATGTGTGCCACTGTGCCCAGCTGGGATTATATCTAAAACTTTTAAAAACTAGGTTTTTGCCTGCGCTGGGGATTGTTGTATACAGGGCCTTGTGTATGCTAAGCAAGTGGTCTACTACTGAGCATCTTCAGCTTCCTTTTTTTAATTTTTAAATACCAGCTAGGTTGGGTATGGTGGTGCACACCTTTAATCCTAGCACTCAGGAGGTGGGCAGATCTCTTGAGTTTTGAGGTCTTGAATTTGTGACCCTCTTACCTCAGCTTTCAGACTACTAGGATTACAGGTGTGTTCTCCCTACCCAGAAAAAGCTTAATTTTAAAAATTATATATATATATATATATATATATATATATATATATATATATATTTTTATTCTTTGGGGAATTGCTTACATGGAAGTTAAAGGACAGCTTGTAGGAGGCAATTCTCTCCTACCATTTGATTTCTAGGGCTTGACCTTAGGTTCTCAGTCTTGATGGCAAGCTCATTTACCTACTAAGCCATCTCAGTAGCAAAAAAGTTTAAATTTTAATGGCAGCATAATTTATTATTTAATAATTCCTTTATTGTACATTCTTGGTTACTTATTAGTTTTTATTATTTACTGAAGTAGATGTGTTTGCATTTAGGTTGTTATGCATTATGATATTTTTGTTAGGGTAGATAAATGTACGAATAATTACAGTGTAAGCTGGGTTCTGTGTAAATACTATGAATACAACAGTAAGTAAAGTAGACTACATTTCTCTCAGAAATCCAGTAGGTTTTCTGAATTTCCATAGATTACTTTGGGCTCATTTTTTCTTCAACACTCTTTATTTTTTAAAAATAATCAATGCATTCATAAAACTAATAACAAATATGCAATGAAATAATCACTTGAAGTCTTGTTTTTAATTTTACAAGTGAAATTTAATAGAGAGAAATAGAACCTGCCTTGGCAAATCAACCTTTTTTGATCAGTGAAAGGTGGTTAAAACTTAGTGATATACTTTTCTTTTTTATTAAATTTAGGAAATGAGAAAAGGGCAATATAAGTGGTTTTAAACTCTGTATGGGAAGTTACCATGTGAAAAATTAGAAGATTTTGGCCCAGGCTACTTAAGAGAAGAACACAGCTTAGACATATATGTATTTACAGAACTAAGTGTGAAAATGTAACTGAGCCAATTTTGTATGGTTGTAAACCCTTGTGTCTTATGAATGCTAAAGGGAAATACATTTTGTTTGCATAATAAAGGCTTTGTGTTCCTAGTATTCTTCTGGAAGAGTAAGGACAGTATATCTCATTTTTTCCTAACTCTGGGTTATTTGAGAAGAGACTAGAAAGTCAATAGTCAGGTATTTTGATTGATTATTTTTGTTTATCTAGACAGGGCTTTTTTTCTGTGTGTAATTTTGGTCCTGGAACTCACTCTGTAGACCAGGCTGGCCTCGAACTCAGAGATCCATCTGCCTCTGTCTCCTGAGTTCTGGGGTTAAAGGCCTATGCAGCCACCACCTGGCAGGTATTTTAAATTGTAGCAGTTAAGAGTTTATCTGGTAGTAGGGGAGAAGGACCTCCCCTATCAGTGAACTAAGGGAAGAGCATAGGGGGAGAAGAAGGAGGGATGCAATGAGCATTAAAGGAAGCCTGAATTGTAACAAAGGCGCCCTGTGTGTCTTTTGCCCTTAACTCTTTCTTCAGCCTCTCACAGAAGGGGTATGTTTCTCCTTCCAAGCAAGGGCAATAGGGGCTGTCTTTTCTTGCATAGGCTGAAACCTGTCTCATCAGAGGAGACAGAGCAGATCAGAAAGGATGGACCTCTGAGAACAAGAGAGCAGGAACTGGGATGCAGACTCATGGCGAGACAGAGGGGCTGCTGAAAAGTCAGGATGCCCTCTACTGCAACACCATAAATTGCCACTCTGATTTAGAAATTATACATACGGCTTTTTGAGTACTGGCCAGAACCTTTCCTTACTTT